ATGTAACTTATTACCATTCCTGTGAAGTGAATGAACAAATATATTTAACATATTACCATTCCTGTGAAATGAATGTACAAATATATGTATCTTATTACCATTCCTGTGAAGTGAATGTACAAATATATTTAACTTTTCACCTTTTGCTGAAACCACTTCATTGCTTCTTCCTTACTAATACGATGTTTTGCACCAATAATGCTTTTCCTCCTCCTACGGTGAGCAATATTGAACCCCGGACGGCCCAGGACGACATAAAAATCCAAGCCATATATGCCAATACTCGGGTCATATTTGATACCCAAATCAATATGTTCCTGAATACCAAACCCAAAGTTTCCAGTGTCTGAAAAATTATCCTTCCTTAATTCATACTCACGAACCTGAAAAGAAGAGTTTAATTTTGACACACACACACACACAGTTCCCGTAATCTTATCAAATAGGGTTAAAAAAAGTTTAGCAGCCTTACAATCCCAACAATGGTGATTCTTTAGAACCTATATAATTCTTCTATGAAGTTCTTTATAAAATCTTCAGTTTCATCTAATTATGGCCAACCGGTTACTTCTGTATACTTTTAGCCTATTACTGAAAAAATAATCTGTAATAAACCAATACTTATTTTCATTAATTATAGGGAAGCTCCATAAAAATAAAGTAATCTATGTTCCAAGTCTCAGTGTAAAATCTGTTTAAATAACAATAAAAGACTTCATCTTGGTGTTAATATATTAGAGAATACTTTTGTGTAAGGGAGCTTTACTATCATCAATAATAACATTATTATCTTTGATACTTACAAGATAATGGAATCTATTCCCCAAAGTTATTTGGAAGAAAAGTGACATTTTAGTTAACAATATTCAGGAGTTTTCAAAAATAATTTTCTTGTTCACCTCACCTCTCACAAGTTTTTCACAGGGTTTTTACTTTTTCAGATGATTGTGCAACTCTTTAATAAGAAGCTAGCATATTGTAAGGAGGTTAATTAGTAAATTGGATGTTTATGGTATTAGTGTCAAAATTAAAAAGGTAGGTAAAATATTGAAAACTATAAGAATGTGACTAACAATCTCCCTTACAGGCTGTTTTGTGACAGTGACTATTCATTATTTTAATATAATATTAAAAACTAGAAGAATATGACTAACAGTCTCCCTTACAGGCTATTTTGTGACAGTTACTATTCATTATTTTAATATAATATTGAAAACTATAAGAATGTGACTAACAGTCTCCCTTACAGGCTATTTTGTGACAGTGACTGTATTATATTAAAATAATGAATTGAAAACTATAAGAATGTGACTAACAGTCTCCCTTACAGGCTATTTTGTGACAGTTACTATTCATTATTTTAATATAATATTGAAAACTATAAGAATGTGACTAACAGTCTCCCTTACAGGCTATTTTGTGACAGTTACTATTCATTATTTTAATATGCCAAACTGTTTTATATTTTCTTGGGGAAGAGTAGTAGTATTTACTAATAATGGTACAATATTAATATTGTTTTATAAAATATAATGATGAACAGAAAGGCAGGTTACACATCATTTAATATAATTCAGTTTCTTGTTACTAACAGACTACAACACAAAAATCTTTGAATTCTGTGCAATGTTGTATAGAGTCACTACAATAATTTTAACATGCAGTTACATTATGTAAAAATTATTGGAGACAGAGAAAAAAAGTGAAATGTAAAATGTGATATATACACCTGGAAAAAAGTTAAGCACACCGTGTTTTTTTCAAGTGATTCAGATTCGACGTTCTTGTGACTGATTATAAATTACCATTCAATCTAAACGTGTTTATCAAATGAAATTATGCATTATTGGGCACAAGAAAACAAGATTAT